TGGGTTCTTGGGACTCTGGAGTTCTCTAAGTGGTCCTATGCCTGCTGCCAGGCCTACGGGGCTTCTTCCCCAGATCCATTCCCTCAAGAACAGATCTTGTTGCCAGTGTGCAACTCCCTACATCCAGAGACTTTCCTTGCTCTTTCTGATGAGACTGCCTTATGCAAAATCACACCACCAGCACTCCTCCAGCATTCCCAATTCTCCTTATCTCTCTTACTTTTTCAAAGCATGCATGACCATTTGACATCCCACATAATGTACTCATTTGTTATATTATCATCAGCTGTCTTCGATAATAATCTAATCACCAAAAAGACAGAGATGTTTGATTTGCTTAACACCTTTCAGTTCCTAGAACTGTGTCTGGCAGGAAAGTGGCACTCGGTTCATACTGGATGAATGAATTCTCCCTTTACCTGGCAGAAGGCTCTCCTGAGCGCTGAATAATCAAACGTGACCATGTCACTCCTGCTTACAAGACTCCAATAGCTTCTGTGATTTATTAGGTAAAGTTCTCCTGCGCATGGGCTACACAACTTTTTCTGATTTGGTCCTTCCTGCCTTAACCACAGGAGTAATGCAGGCACTTTCCATGACTAGGCCCTCACAGGTGCTCTTGAGATTCTCATCTCTCTTGTCTAATCTCCTTTTATTTTGTCCAATCTTATTTCCCCTCTATATCGGTTTTTAGGTTTTTACCAGAGCTCAAAGAAACTGTACTGGGTCACAAATATTTCCTTAAGTGGCCTTACATTCTTATGCACTCAACACAAGTAGATAAGCCTTTCCTAGCTGCTCCAAGCTGTTCCTCCTGCCTCAGTTGTTATCTGCTATTCACTACTGTTAGCACTGAACTCCTTCCTGGTATATTAATTTGTTACATATCTGTCTTTTGTGCTAGAACAAAAGCTCTTTGTACTGTATTAGGTCCTAATAACAATTTTCTTTATCTTTGTGTGTGTTTGTGTTTATGTGTGTCTGTGTGTTTTGTAAATGTTTATAACTGTTTATAACGGATAATGACTGTTCCCTGAAGGAACAGATGAATGAGTGCATGTGTGGCAGTACAACATCACACTCTAAGACTACTGGCCCCCAGGTGACTCCTTCTTCTGTTGTAGAAACAGAAGACCTAATTTGTTTAATAATTTTGTCCCCAAATAAAAGAAATTTTCATCAGTTTAAGTCACTCACAGTACAATGGGCTTCTAATGGGGTGGGGATGTCATCACCCCTGGAACTGCTTAAGCAAAGGTGTATGTTGAAGGAAGCCTTTCCACAAGAGGTGGACAGTTAAAAAAAAGATCTTTAGTAAGATTATTTAAAAGAATGTTCCCATAGGTACCTCAAGCTCCTCACCAACCACCCTCAAAATGCCAGTCTCTCTCAATAAGATCTTTGACCTCCTGGTTCCTTAGGGAAATGACATATTCTGAAAGAGCAGATTCTGAGAACCTTTAATATTAGGTAAGTTTGAACTCTTTTATATTCAGGCTGGTAAAGCCTGAAAGAATTTATTTGGAGAACTTATGGAGTGCACTACCCAAATTAATTTGCTCAGCATCACTTACAAAACATCCATATGTAAAGCACTCCTTTGGTCAAAAGAGCACAGAGATGACACTTCTCTGTGAGATGAAATGAATGTGTTCAAACAACCATGCTTTCCCTTCAGTCTCCCCTTTCAAAATTCACATTTGTTTTGGACAAAGTATCTAACTGTCCTGGACTGCGTGGCCATTCATTTTTATCTTAATTGTATATTCCTTATGTATGTGTTTGTGCTCAGGTTTTCACCAGGCAGAAGATGCTCAGTAGCCATCTGTACTAGGGCAAACTCCTCTCTAAGGAATACACTAGAACATGACTAGAAAAAAACATTTTCAAAAAAAGGAAAAACAAAAAAAGTAAAGAAAAAGGATTTTTCAATCAAATAATCAAGTTAGCTGAATTTTTAAACTTCTGGATAATTTTTAACGAACACTGGGTAATTCCCGACAACTCTGCCTATGGACATCCTGTAGTGGTTGGTCTAGTCATGGTATGAGATGGAACAGGACAGCAGAGGATACTAGATTCTAGAACATTTTTCTGTGGCCCTAAAAAGAGTCAGGAAGGGAGCTCTCAGTCACAAGATGCTCAGTCTTGAGAGAGAGAAGAAAGGCCACTCTTTATTTTTTTTAATTTTATATATTTATGTATTTATTTACTTACTTATTTTAGACCTTCAGAATCCATCATTTTTAATCTGGAGCAACTTAAAGTTTGTTTGTAATAAGGGCCACTCTTTTTAGATTGGTGAAGAGTCATGCTCAGAGTTATTTATTTATTTAATTTATTTTAGACCTTCAGAATCTCTCATTTTTAATTTGGAACAACTTAAAGTTTGTTTGTAATAAGGGCCACTCTTTTTAGATTGGTGAAGAGTCATGCTTAGAGGGCTCCCCTGGCCACTCGGGAAGCTGCTTCTCCCAATGGCATGGTGGAATGCTTTGAGCTAGGCATCAAGAGACATTAGTCAACTTAACGACAGTTCAAGTGTAACTTAAAGTGCATCTCAACTTTTTAGCCAGTGTATATGATACTCCCACTTTGTGCACGTCTTTAAATTAGGGAATCCATTCAAATCGAGGTGGGGAATCAAGATTAGGATTCATGTTAGAAAGGGTCCTTGCCCTCAAAGACATTATACCGCAGTCAGGACATTAAAAGTCTGCACACATGAAAAAGGGTAAGAAGTGATGTGAAAGATTTTTGCATGAAAATGCCCAAGCTGTGCAAGCTGCCTGGTGGAAGGATGCTTCTTGGGTTGAGTGGGATTTGGGGAGTTGGAGCTACTCTGGAGGTCCTGCAGAAGAGCTAGAAGTAAAATCACAGCTTCACAGACACAGGGCTTGTTGAGGACAATCAGGAACAGCATATCTAGACCAGAAATGCAGATGAGACATGTCAACGGCTTAATGCCAGTTAGAGCTTGTCAACGCGTGACAATCCCAAAGAAGTATGTACATGGTTTTGTTTTTTTTTTTTGTCTGTATAGAAATGAGGGAGTGAAATTGAATTCCAGTCACTCAATGAGAGGACCAAGATATTAATTCAGATGTTTGGTAAAGCTTCTGACCTAGGTTCAGAAAAGGGAAGAAAGGCAGAGGAAGGAAAAACTTGTTAGAGAACAATTCACAAACAATTGACAAAACAATTGACAAGTGATCAGCCATACAGGAAAGAAAGAGAAGCAACAGGTTGGCTGTGGTTTTGAAGCCTGGCAATCCAGACAATGCTGATGCCATTGCAGAGGGGTGGGTGGAGGAAAGATTAGATCAAGAGCTGAGTTTTACAGGGAATGCTGAGCTGACTAAAGACACGGGGACCATGAGGTGCAGGAGACAGGTGGAACCGTAGAGCAGGCTGTGACACGAAGAGGCCACGCTGCAGAAGCCTCACTGCAGGGGGACTTAAGTATGCCCCAGTTAAGTCACCTGGTATATCTGGACACTGCTATGTGGAATAAAAATGTCACACAACAATCTATGCGTTTCTATCCCATGCATCTTAAAGCAAGTCAACTTGGAAGCACGACCAGAAATACTCTCTGAGCTCATCTGCACTGCCTCCTTCTCAAATCAACCCCCAACTGCCCCATGTGTATTCCACAAATGCACAAACGACCCCCATCTGGGGATTCAGCTGTGGGTTCATCAGATCAAATCATTTCCAACTCAACAGGCACCCAGTGAGCGCCTGTGCATGATCGAGGCATTGTGCCAGGCACTTGGGATTCAGAGAACCTAAAAGTTGTGGTCCTTGCCCCCAAAGACTTCCAGGTGAACAGAAAGGCTCCTGTGAAGGAGGAATCTGGGGAGAACACACCTGGAGGCTGCAGGTAAGGAAGAGCTGCTGGTGGAGAGTTCAGGTAAGGAAGGCGCACAGACTACTTCTGAGAGGCAGGAGCAATATGGCTCATCCATTCATTGTCTCTTGGACTTGGAAGGGAGCTTGGAGAAAGTCCAGTCCACTGGCATTTGACTCCTGATACTAGATCTGATTACTGTTCACACTGAATATTCTTGCTGTGCATTGTGCACACTGTACTGTGCATAGAATTTCAGGGAGAGAAGGCTTCTTTACAGGCAATTTCACTCAAGCTGCTCACTTCACCCCTCTCCCACATGAAATCCATGGTCCTCTCTTTTCTACTCTTTGCACCTGGACAGTGAGCAATACTTAGCAATTAGTGTCTTTTCAGTTAGCTCATCTTGCTCTAATCATTTTATATAAAAAAGTCAGTCTTTTAGTAGGCCCCAAATAATCCCTTTTTTTAAACTAATGGTTGCTTGTATTTTTTTAAATGTTTTTTTATTTATTTTTGAGAGAGAGAGAGAGAGTGTGTGAGCAGGGGAGGGTCAGAGAGAGAGGGAGATACAGAATCTGAAACAGGCTCCAGGCTCTGAGCTGTCAGCACAGAGCCCGATGCGGGGCTCGAACCCACAAACCGTGAGATCACGACCTGAGCCGATGCTGGACACTTAACCGACTGAGCCACCCAGGCGCCCCTGGTTGCTTGTATTATAAATTAATTTAATTGTAGTTGGGTTTTTTGTTGTTTTTCTTTGTTTTAAACAGTTTATTCTTAGAGCAGAGCTTGTAAACGCAGATTAGCCTGGAATGTGGATTGCCTGCCAGAGGGATAATTACAGCCGGACATCTGATGTAAAACAAAACAAACAAGCAATTTTTAAAGTTCCATTAACCCTCCCTAAATTCTAAGCTGAGAGACAATCTCAAGATGATTAATTTTTTTTCCCACTGCACGTTTATTCTCTTCAGGGAAAAAAAAAAAAAAGTCCGCTCATAAAACTGCCCAACATGAGTGATACGTGGATGAGCGAGCTTGAGAGACAGCAAGATACGAGCTTGTTGGCGTGCCTGAGCATAACCGCCGAGGCAGACTTTCTCCTGCCTGCAGTGATGTGGAGTGAAAGTGTGCCCACACTTACCTGACGGTGGCGGTTTCATCATCCTCTGCAACACCAGTTCAGGGAGAAGACCCCAACCTACTGGATACTCGCATCAGAACTTGGGCCCAACCCGCAGGCAAAGACGTTAAAGGAAGGAAAACAAACAGTTGCTCCTGCGTCAGATTCAGTCTTAAAAGTCAAGTAAACAAACAGCCGAAACCAAACAAAACCAAAACAAACAAACAAAAAAAAAAAAAAAAAATGGAGGTTGCTCCCTAAGCCGCTACAACAAGCTGCAGCTCCGAGCCAGGACTCTTTGTGGCTGGCGGAGGGATATAGGAGGATGGGTCACAAAAGGCCGTCTTGTAAAGTACATTATGCAAGAGGAGAGAAGACATGTCTCCGTCTAGCTCAGGCTTCTTGTAACACGAGGGTAATTCACAACAAAATTAAGCCTGAGGAACTGCCTGAAGCTCAGCCTACTGAGAAGTTTTGGTTTCTCTTTCAAGCATTGCTCCTCCTCTGCCCTCAAGTGCCCCTTGCAATGCGTCCCTGGAGAAGCTGATGCGCTGTTTATTTAGCAGGAGGGAGGGAGAGACGAGACCAGCATGTTCTAGCTGCGGGCCAGGAACGTTTCGCAGGTGCCTTTGTTAGTCTCCTAGTGTTGTTGCAAGCAGTTAACCAGAGACTGGGTAGATTAAGATAGCAGACACTATGCTCACTGTTTTCCCACCTTTCTGGAAGCCAGGTGGGTGAAATCAGGTGTCACAGGGCCACACCCCCTCTAAAGGCTCCAGTCAAGAATGCTCTCTTGCTATTCCTTGCTTGTGATGGATTCTGGCAAGCCTTGGCCTTCTCCTGGGTTTGTAGTTGATCACTCCAATCTCTATGTCCATCTTCACATGACCTTCTCTTGTGTATCTTTGAGTGTCTTTTCCTCTTCTTAGAAGGACACCAACCATTGGATTAGTGCCCACCCTCATCCAAAATGACCTCATCTTAAGTAATCACTTCTGCAAATACCCTGCTTCAAATAAGTCACATTCTGAGGCTCCCGGTGGACATTAATATTTGGGGAAATTGTTTGACCCACTACAGGACTCCATTCTTGGACCAATGTGTGGTCTAGATACCATTAGGTCCATTTTACATATGAAGAAAGAGTCAAGGTCAAGCAACTCTTCCTCACTTGCATGGCTGAATTTGAACTCAGGCCTCTGTGGTCCCAGTACATGTGAGGCTCTCCAGCAGTGAGACTCAAACCAGGTGCAGAACAGGCCAGCTTGAGCACAAGACTGGATGACCAACCCATTCCTGCCGCCCCATTCCTTTGGGCTCATATGTGCGGGCTGAGCAGGGACAAGGCTCTGAGACGCACATAGGGTGTGTGTTCTTAGCCACATTTATCTAATATTTTCTTGTCCTCTTTCCACGCCTTGCCTTTAATTGATTTTCTTCTGAAAAAAGCAGACTTCTTTCTTCCTTGTTCTTTTAACTGCATCCATCACACAAGAAGTAATGAAATTTGTATTGGCTGCAAATGGAACTGGCCGCCTATTCTCAAGGATGAGCTGTGTCTTTGGGAAGCCAGCCTTCCTCTGGGGACCTGCTTCTCCACCTACAGCTCTGGGTATGTGGTTTCATGGGAGTTGCCTGCTCATACCTGACCTTCTCCAGTTACTGTGATAGTCTAAGGAAAGGGCATAGGTCCCCCGCGTGGCTCTCAGAGTTTAGTGTCTTCAGGATCCCCACACCACCCATCAGAGTTTCTGCCTGTCTTGAAGAGGGAGACACACTCCCCACTGTATCTCTCCCTCTGCTCTAAGCCCCCTCCCTCTATCCACTTTTTCTCTCCACTCCTCTGGGCTCTTGCTGAGCAACTGAGGTTTGGGGGGGAAAAAAGACCCATTTCAAACCAAAAGACAGCCTGGGAGTTTTGACAAAACTCCCAAATAAAACTCAAACTGGAATCTCAGCATACTTTTCCTACCTCAGAAATCCATATGTCTCAACGAAAACACCGGAAGGGTAGATACCAAAATGGTAACAGTGCGTTTCTGGGTGGAGGACTTGCAGGTGATGTTTTAGTTTCTTCTTGTGACTTCTATTTTTTTTCCTAAATAACTTGCCATGGACACAGATGACTTTTGTAAAGACGTGGAACTCAACATCAAAAATCAGTAATGAACAGTACAATTCAATTGCTAACCAAGAGCAACAAGAAAACAATTTAAGAACTTGGCCAAGGGCTTATGTTTGTTTCTAGTTCATTCAATTTAGTGTTGTTCTCTTTATCACAGAAGATCCCTGAGGCATAGCTGAATTGTGTTGTGTGTGTGTGTGTGTGTGCACGCTCATGCAGAATACAGACCTCTACCATGTTGCACTGATACTTGCTAATGGAAAATTAGAATGTAGGTCACAAATACTGCAATATGATAAGCAAAATAATGACCTCACCAGTGTCCACACCCAGTCTCCACGCCCCATCCATTTCATAGAAAGGAAAATTGAAGCAAAGAGAGACTGTTCTGCTTCACCAGGATCACCTTGTAAATGCAGGGCAGAATTCACTTCTATTCTTTCTCCTCCAGATATTTTCCTCCAAATGCAGTGTATATAATGTAATGTGATGTAAAGGTTCACGTAAAGTGCCTAGAAGAGTCCTTGTCCAATAGCGGGAGCTAAATCAGTGTTAACTGTTCCAGATCCAAACAACAAGTCCAACCATTCCCACCTTCCTTGGACTTACAGAGAAAAAATAAAAGAACCCAGCCTAAAGGTGAGAAAAAAGTGCACCTGGGGTTTTGGAGAAATGAGTAAAGACCAAGAGCTTAGGAAGGGGTAAGATTTCAAGGACCCAGCAGTTTATCTGGAATCAGCCATAGCAACATCCCCAAAGTCAGCAACCAAGGGTTTTGGTTTTTTTTAAATATAATTTATTGTCAAGTTGGCTAACATAGTGTACACAGTGTGCTCTTGCCTTTGGAAGTAGATTCCCATGATTCATCGCGTCTATACAATACCCAGTGCTCATCCCAACAAGTGCCTTCCTCAACACCCATCACCCATTATCCCCTCCCCGCACCCCCATCAACCCTCAGTTTGTTCTCTGTATTTAAGAGTCTCTTATGGTTTATCTCCCTCTCTATTTGAAACTATTTTTCCCCTTCACTTCCCCTATGGTCTTCTGTTAAGTTTCTTAAATTCCATATATGAGTGAAAATATATGACATCTTTCTCTGACTGACTTATTTCACTTAGCATAATACCCTCCAGTCCCATCCATGTTGTTGCAAATGGCAAGATTTCATTCTTTCTCATTGCTGAGTAGTATTCCATTGTATATATATACCACATCTTTATCATTCATCAGTTGATGGACATTTAAGCTCTTTCCATAATTTGGCTATTGTGGATAGTGCTGCTATAAACATTGGGGTACATATGCCTCTATGAATAGCACTCCTGTATCCTTTGGATAAGTTCCTAGCCATTGCTAGGATAAGTGCCATTGCTGGTTGTAAGGTAGTTCTATTTTTAATTTTTTGAGGAAACTCCACACTATTTTCCAGAGTAGCTGCACCAGTTTGCATTCCCACCAACAGTGCAAGAGGGTTCCCATTTCTCCACATCCTTACTAACATCTGTTGTTTCCTAGTTGTTAATTTTAGCCACTCTGACCAGTGTGAGGTGGTATCTCAATGTGGTTTTGATTTGCACTTCCCTGATGATGAGCGATGTTGAACATCTTCTGATGTGTCTGTTGGCCATCTGGATGTCTTCTTTGGGAAAATGTCTATTCATATCTCCTGCCCATTTCTTCACTGGATTATTTGTTTTTCAGGGGTTGAGTTTTGTAAGTTCTTTATAGATTTTGGATACTACTCCTTTATCTGATATGTCATTTGCAAATATCTTTTCCCATTCTGTCGGTTGCCTCTTGGTTTTGTTGATTGTTTCCTTTGCAGAAGCTTTTTCTCTCTTTTTATCTTGATGAGGCCCCAATAGTTCATTTTTGCTTTTAATTCTCTTGCCTTTGGAGATGTACTGGGCAAGAAACTGTTGCAGCTGCAGTCAAAGAGGTTGTTGCCTGCTTTCTCCTCCGGGTTTTTGATGGCTTTCTATCTTACATTTAGGTATGTCATCCATTTTGAGCTTATTTTTGTGTATAGTGTGAGAAAGTGGTCTGGTTTCATTTTTCTGCATTTTGCGGTCCAGGTCTCCCAGCACCATTTGCTTAAGAGACTGTTTTTTTCCCACTGGATGCTCTTTTCTGCTTTGTCAAAGAGTAGTTGGCCATACATTTGTGGGTCCAATACTGGGTTCTCTATTCTATTCTATTGGTCTATGTAATTATTTTTGTGCCAATACCATACTGTCTTGATAATTACAGCTTTGTAATACAGGCTGAAGTCCAGGATTATGATGCCTCTGGCTTTGGTTTTCTTTTTCAACAATACCTTTGCTATTGGGGTCTTTTGTGGTTCCATACAAATTTTAGGTTGTTTGTTCTAGCTCTGAGAAGAATGATGATGCTATTTCAACTGGGATTGCATTGAATGTGCAGATTGCATTGGATAGTATTGACATTTTAACAATATTTATCCTTCCAATTCATGAGCATGGAACATTTTCCCATTTCTTTGTGTTTCTTCAATTTCTTTCATAGGTTTTCTATGGTTTTCAGCACATAGATCTTTTACTTCTTTGAGCAACCAAGGTTGTGATGTGTATTGATGTGGAATATGATGAATGGCAATGATGGCTAGCCCCTTCTCTTGAAAATGGAGAAGGTCACAGGCAACTGTAGGCAGAGCGGGGGGCGGGGAGAAGACTACCTGGAGCACCCTGAAAACCAGCCTTCCTTGACCCATGATGAGTCCAGGGACTGGAGATTGGCCTCTAGTGACTCATCTGATCCCTGCTTGCTAAGGAAGGCCTTGCCTTAATGTGAGGAAAGAGAAGGTAGGGAAGGATGTTCTTGCCAGAGCGACAGAGATGGGTATTCGTTTTTAGAAGGAAAGAGGTCAAAGTTTAGCTCATTCCCTGAAAGCAACTCAGATAAAAGGGAAGTTTAAATTGAATGGGTTTATTTGAGCTACTGATGAAGTACTTTCCTGGTTCATCTCCCCCCAGGTGACTGGTAGGAAAGAAGCACCTGGGAAATAGCTCCTTGTGGAGAACAAAGTTATTGAAGTCACAAAGGTCAGATCTCAGTAAGGGGAATCTCAGAGGCTCAGGGCTGGGAAATGGAGGTGGAGAAGGCAGGGGTGGGAGAGGTTGAACTGGTCCATTAGCCTTTTTTTTTTTTTTAAGTTTATTTATTTATTTTGAGAAAGAAAGAGAGAGAGCTCATGCATGCAGGGGTGGGGGAGAGATGGGGGAGAGAAAGAATTC